ATTCGACGGTCTTCTGCGTCTGAAAAAGAGTACTGTCAAACAGTCAAAGTCAAAGTCCTTGTATACTGACACCGAGGGGGCTATATATATTTAGTAAAATCCAACTAGTGGTCTATTATCAATGTTGAGTTCTGATTGGTTGAGCTACTACTAGGCTATATATTATAGCCCACTATTAGCGAAAAGCGCCGGCTTTGAAAACCAAAACAATGGGGGCTAAATCGCGTTTTGCTAGCTTAAGTTGTTTTGCCTCGATATTTTTGACCAACTAGTTGGATTTTACTAAAAAAATTATTCCTCTCGCCCTCATGGCCGCTGAGTCAATAGCCCATTCGGCCTTCGGCCTCGTGGGCTATTGACTCAGAGCCCATTCGGGCTCGAAGAATTATTGTTAAATATATAGCCATAGAAAGTGTCCGTGTTAAGCGGGTCATGTTATTTAAGTGAAAAATTCAGACTTTTTTGTTTTAGAAAGAGGACAATAGCATCGTCAAATTATACATCTATAACCTTCATAAAGCTTTCATTGCGAGGACTTAAGAACGAAAAGGGCGAAAGGTGAAGAGTAAAACGAGAAATAAACATTTTTTTTAAATGAACTTGGCATGCATAATGATATACAAATTGTTAGGGCTTTCTTTCCTCAGGGACAAAGCAAACTGTCCGTAATAAGAGGTCTCCGTAAAGCGGGATAGAGAGTCAAACCCCGTTAATACGGACACTGAGGGGACCATAGAAAGTGTCCATATTAACGGGGTGTTCGTATTAAACGGCATTCTTTCCCAAGGGACAAAGAAAACTTTCCGTAATGGGCCACTTGCACGATGACGCCATTTTACTACTACTACCAGAGTCCTTCAGGGTTTAGCTTTCTTGTGCAACTTAGGGGTTTTGTCATTTAATCCTCGCTGGGATTACCAAATTTAAAGATGAAAGGAAAAACGTGAAGGATTCTGGTCGTTGTAGTAAACTGACGCCATCGTGCAAATGACGTCATTTCTATTGGCACTGGGCTTGCTATCTCTGAAGCTATCACATAAGACAAAATAAACATGCCGAATATCATGGCTTGTAAAAAGTAGGGCCAATATTAAAGGATAAAAGCACGTTTCGTAACTCTTTCCGATTTTTCCTTGGTTAAATTCTATTGTCTTAATTTCAGTCGAGAGGAATGACCGTTAAAATAACGCGAATTCAAGTGTTTAGGAACGCTTCTTTGCAGAATTAAACAGGATGCTGATTCTACCTGCAAATGTTCATTAAGAAATGTGTTTAGACGTTATAGGGGAAAGTTAATATCAATGATACCATTATCTTTCCAGTCAATGAAACCGATCCTCAGGTAACCGTTTTAACAGCAAATTAGCATGCCTGTACATGCCTCACTGAACACATGCGAGATACAATATTCACAAGAGTAAAAAGTAAGGGAGTCAATATTTGCGAGGTTCGCGTCTGCTGAAAGAACGCGTCATGCGCACTGACATCGCGTGTGCGCCCGTTGGGTTTAATCGTTTTCTGTGAAAGGGTGCAGAGCGCTCCGCAGGAATAACGTGCTCTCTTGACCCAGTGTTACAGCGGTAATTCGTTTGGAACCTATTTGGCGCTCTAATCGAAGTGTTATTTTGTGTATATCGCTGCCACGTCTAAAGAACAACTATGGCGAAGCTGATACCTATGGTGGTGGCTGTACTCGTGATGACCGTTGGTCGCTCAGGTAAGTGTAACTAGTACGTGTTAACACATTGTGGCGATTATAGAGTCTCCTCAGTTCTCTTGGCTTCTTTAGCTGTTTTCATTGCCTGGTCGTGCCCAATCTGACTGGTGTCAAATTTCCAAAAGATTTGTGCTTTAGACCTCGCAGATGACGTGAGCGCAGCGATTTTGTCGCCACACCTTTCATTAATTGTTTATAAGGTTCAAATGTTGTTTATACTATTTACTCGCGGCGTTGAGCATTCATATTTCCACTTTGTTTTTGTGCTATATATATAAACGATAATCGACATAAACAACCTTCAATGTTCTCTACTATAGCCTGAAACCTGAAACCAAAAATTTTCCCCGAACGATTAATGAGCACGCTCATCGCGCAATTTAGACTACGAATACAGTCTTTTCTCCTAACTCCTCGCCGCCAGGGACGTCTTGCCAGGAGGAACGTTTGCGACTCAGTGAAAGAAATTCCATACTGACGATGTAAATCAATGTTTACTTAACAAATCCGGTAGTCATGGGGTTCCAAATGTAAATTTGTTTGATTTTATGTTTCTCCTGGTCGATTATGGTAAAGTTTTGTGATCTTTTGCGAACGAGCTCCAGCAAAACTCAAGTGCTTTTTCTAAAGAAGAATATATTCTAGGAATATTGACTGTTTTTGAAGTAGATTCATCACGTTTAAATTTGACCTTTGTGGCCTTTTGTTTTTTTAATTCGTAAACAATATCGGTAAAATAATATAACCACTACGTCAACCAATCATAGCTCCCGACCAGATTCCGGATAGGTCTTACGTCATCACCGAGTATTGATTTTCTGTCGCTGAGTCGTAGACGTTCCTCCTGGAGAAACGTTCTTAGCGGCGAGGAGCGAGGAGAAACGGCTGTATTCGCAGGTTACGCGAAATTGAGTGCTGGGGTTTAACAGGAGCTCGGAGGACGCTTTTCTAAAGTCGACCTTTGCGCCTAACGAGCGAACGTTCAATTACAGCAATTAAAATTGTAAACATCAATTTACCAGGAAGCTGGCTTTGTATTGTTAGGGAATGTACATTCTGTACAGCGGTGCGCAGTTGATAATTAATTATTTTTGCCCTTCTTTCCACTGTGTTTTGATAACTGTTGAGACATTCAGAGAAAAACGAATAATTTAACACAGGGGCGAATACATTGCCACAAGCGGTCTTGTTCTTAAATCCTTTTTCGTCTAGTTTCTGAAAACCGCGCTAGACAAGTTAAAAAGATCTAAAGATATACGGGTATCTCGCGTAAAAAGACAAAAACAAAATTCATTTAAATGTCACTTCCCTTTCGAAATGACGCTAAGAATTGCTAGGAATTCCTAGGATTTTCTAAGACAATAAATAAATTCTTAGGATTTCGGTTGCGGCCTAGGAATGAAGGTGTCGGAAAATTTATTTTATCCAATCATATCACACTGTTATAAGTTACATAAACTGCATAATTCATTTTAACAGGAAATTAGGAAAAGAGGAAAGAGACGAAGTGCTTCTTACAACACATACAACACTTTATACAATATTTGGTGTTGGCTTCTTTTATCACGTACTTTGTCATATTCCTTTCGCTTCGTAGAAAGATGCGCTGAAAAGAATTCATTGATGGAGCTGTCATCAATTAAGTAGAAGGATTAAGTTTCCGAAGATGAGTGCTTTTATCTCTTTCGAAAAAAGCAATGTCCATTAAGGCTTATCGCGATGGAAATAACTGAAGCATGACAAGAATGCTCTGGCTGGTTTTCACTTTATTACTGAGAACAAGAGTGAAACATTCAAGCAAACTATTCTTTTTAGCTACATGCACGCAAAATTGTCTCTAGCCCGTGGTTTTTGGGAGAAGTGGTCTACCTGCCTGCCTACCTGTACCTCAATACACACAACCCCAAGGGTATATTAAATCAAAACCTGTTTAGAAGTAGGTTGAGCATACACAGTACTCAATAGGACTGTTGCTGACAATGACTGACGTTTCGACAACCTGTGCGGTAGTTATCTTTAGAGTCAAAGTGAGTTGTATCACGTCAGTTGATGGCACTAATCTCTGGGGAATCTCTGGTTATTGACTTCAGTGTCAGTTCGCCATGTTCTTGGTCGCCTGTCAGTTAAGCCGTGATGTGATTGGCTATGAAGATTCGTAATGCCATTGGTGCGTTTCCATCGGTCTATTGTCACAGTTAAACAGTCGTTTATTGTTAGTCAATTTCTCGGCTGTCCAGTCATTCTGTCGTTGTTCGGTTTGCTTGAGTCCGTCAATACTGTGAAGTCGTTTGTACGGTGCCAGTAACTGTTGACTTAGACTGCGAGCAGTCTCTTATTTTTCTTTGCAAAGTTACTGCACGAAAAAACCCAAGCATGACGCCAGCGGCGAAGGCGCGAGCCGCGATAAAGGAGGGCGTAAGCCCGAGAAGAAAAAATAAGAGACTCCTGACTCTTTTGTTCTGTCTGGGGACAACGAAGCTGTCAAGGTAGTTTAATTAACAAATTAAACCCGAGTGACTTGAAACGATTTATAAATAGAACATACACAACTGAAAATTGTTATTATTTTTTTTAAATCCGGTAAGATTGCCTTGATTTCCTTTCTTTTGATGAAATTTACATCAGTTTCCTTCTGTAAGATATCCTTAAACAGTTTAGTTTACAAGCGATTACCGCTAGGTTCGTAAAACACGGTTCGCAGTTGGTTGTGACTATTTTTATCGCTTGCATCTCCCCCACAGACCAGTCAACAGCTGTAAAATTGACCAGTAGGTTACTCCCTTTCTGGGCTGACGGAGGATTTGTTTATTACTACAAAAGAGTCCGCAGTCCGTCTTTTCTCGTCTGGACCTAATCCCTTATTGTAACGTAACGTCGTTGTTTGCAATCGCGCTGGCTGAGATAAGAAATAGACGGATTTTAAGAGAAAAGGTGGACTGTAAGCAGTCTACTGTTGACTACGTTTCAGTGGCGTTTGCTCTAAGTTAGTAAACCAGCCTTCTGAAGTAAATCATTACGACTATAAACTTTAAGAAAACTACAAACTACTAAATGGCGTGCGTGTTTAATTTTGTTTTTAGCGATCTAACCAAATTAGTGCGCTTATCATTGTTGAAATATTTCACTAGTCTTCCGCACAACCCGTGAGCCTGGTGTATAACCAGTTTCTTGACATCAACAAAACAACTTATTGTTCCACAGAAGAATAACTCCGTACCATTCTATTAAACTAGAGACTTTTTTCTTGAATTTCTCAATCACCACGTTAGTTATTTCAGTTAGTATGAATACCAGTCACGGAAAGCGGGTTGCCCGCTGGGTTTCTGCCACCATGTTGATTTTCGCGTCGTTGCATCGCCTTATGTAAGGGCCCTCCAAGACATTCTTGGAGTCTGAATTCCACGCCGTGGATTCAGGATTCCAGTTACTAGATTGCAGATCTTTTTCAATGAAACTTGGATTCCGGATTCCAATTGTCAGTGGCATTCTGGATTCCAAGGTCCCGGATTCCCGATTCAAAATGCAAAAAATTTCCCGCATGCCCGAATCCGGATTCCCTTACTTGGGGCGAGTTGCATCAATCTGGTAAGTCAGTAGAGACCTTTAGCATCAGATTTTTCATGGGAAACCGCAAACTGCAAACTGTAGTTTGCCGTTACGCGTTTCAGTGAAGTTTCACGTTGCCCGGATTTCAAATATTAGCGAGGCGTTCAGTTCAGTTCAGTTCATTTTTATTTTGCCAAAATATAATACAATACAAGAATACATATAGGAACTGTAAGTTGGCAAGGGAGCCCAAAAGAAACCAGAAGGCTTATGAAGCCTGGGTTCCTCAATCATCCGAAGAAATAAGTAAGACAAAATGAAATTCGCGCAGTGATACGTTAAAAATAGGAACTAAACAGAGACTGAGTTAAGTTATGAATTGAAATGAAAACTCTGGACTGGAACAGAAAACTTTCTTATGTTAGTACGGCAGAAAGGAATATAAAATCGATTTGAACTGCGCGTTCATTGTTTAGTGCCGTCATGTTGTTTTTTATCAAGTCGAAGTGCATCACTTTTATTGCCCAAACAACAGGAATAATTCATTGATTCGAGAACAGCTGCAAACGCGACCGCAAGACCGTGGTCACGTGACATTTTGTGGTTTGCGATTTGCGGTTTTCCATGAAAAACCTGATGCTAAAGGTCTCTAGTGAGCAAACCAAATAATACCTAAATGATACATTGTTTCTCCTTGGGCTATCTTAGAGGCAATAAGATGGGACAAACAGCCTGAAAAACCAACAATTCTGGTTGAAGGAGTAAACAACACTGGGGAGAGTCTGAAACTCGTCTGGACTTACGTTACTGAGGCATCCGAATCTATTGACAGAGTCACATTTCAAAGGCGAAGAGATGATGCTGATCCAGCGGAAGATATTGCAAGCAGCGTAAACGGAGGAGCGTTTAATGTTTTTTCAAAATTTATTTCAAACTACAGTGCAAGCGTTCCAGCTACATTGATTTTGAGAAATCCCGTGACCAACGACGACGAGTTCATATATTCTATCGTGGTATCGCCCTCCAGAAATGACCGTCCTGTGCCATCTCTTATCGACAAAGTACAATTAATCGTGTTTGGTAAGTAAAGTATCTCTTTACTTCTACGTTTTTCAGTTATTTTTAACATTTTCAGGCTAAGGCGTCTTTAAGAAGACTTTTCACAACACCCTCCTTTGAAGTTCTCTAGAGTAAGCCTGGCGTGGTCGGTTCCTAAAATTAATTTCCTCATTTACTGGTTTCTGAATCGTTACTTTATTGAGTGTGAGAGAGATTTATTTACTTTACGTCATTCTGAAACTCTTGAGAAAAGTCTATGAATGGCGGCTTATGTATTTTTGACAGTCCCTTTTTCGACAGTAATTTGCGGTAAGCGTCGCATGAGTACTTCCTCAATGGAACGTGAGTTCGTTCTTGCGAGCCCGGCTTTAATTTGAAATTAACGAAATTACATTTTTTACAATTTCTGCACGTGCCATAATGCTTCAAAAGCCTGATTCTATATTATGTTAGCTTACTTAAAAGTTAAAGTTTGAAAATACTGAGTTTATTGCTTCACAAAACCATCATTTTTCACGACACCACAAACTACAGACATAAATATTAATTAATATTTTTCCTCACGCGGCTTAGTTTTGAGTAAAATACTTTCAATCATGTAGTAAATTATACATCCAGTTATATAAAAGAGCAAAGGTTCCTTCGTTGCGTAAATTAACCAACCATAAAAGGACTCTTTACAAGTAGAGCAATTATTTTTAAAAAAGAAATTTCGGGCGAAAACGATTAACGATAAAGCTTATATTGTTCGCCTAGAGATCAAATATTCACGCCATTTCACGCAAAACGTAAAATAAGCAACTTTAAGGTAAATTGTCGCCGTCGCCCAATTATTTTAAATGTATTAGGCAACTTGTTTTCAAAGTTTACGATTTAGTTCTGAAATGCGTAGGAATTATAGGTATGGTGAATCATGGAATGATTTGCATACAGAATTGAGTGCTGTGTCATTTTTCGTCGGGTACACAATATATGAATGCTGTATATGATTTGTTTCTCCGTGCGAAAACAGTCATGATAACAGTAAAAAGCGCTTCGAGAGATCAGTTGTCGATTAGTCTCTTCAATTTTGACATGGTTTTACAGTTCCTACTTTTATATTGTAGACTCTGTACAGTATAGACTGACATTAAAGAAAAAAAACGTTGTCATCGTTTTATCCTTTCCGGCGACCTACAAACATCCTATAAACTTAGTCGATTAAAAGCCTCCCTAAGGCTGTGCAAAATAACAAACACAACTAACGAACAAATATTTAACAATAATTGCACGAGTGCGCGTTAGATATAAGTTGGCTACAATCATCTCATATCCGTCAAGCGCGAGTGGTCCAATAATTCTTTTATTAAAAACGCCCACAAAATAGCGAAAATTCTTCCCGACCTTATTTGTAAAAACAAGCGATTTTCAGCTTGTTTTTAATTTTGAGCAGACGCGTACAGTAACCTTGTTTGGAGAGCATGGTATAATGGCTCATATCATGATGGCTAAGCCAATCAGAGCTCTTTTATTTCATTATCGAATGATTCAGTTTTTAATAAAACAATGTATACAACGATTATTATTTTTTTTTGGAGGAACACTGAATAGCAACCTGTATTCATAGTTTTACAACTGTACTTATAAATCGCCAATCTGAATTCTCTATTACTACCCGCCATTTTGGAAAGTTATTGAACACTAACTCCCTCTGGGAAAGACATCAATGAAACTAGTCCGCATTTACTCGCGGAGTAAAATTTTCACCGCATTAAAGAACTTTATCACAGTGTAGAGTAACCGTTGAACGTTAATCGTTTGATAACAAAGTAACATTCTAATTTTGGAGAAAATATTACATAATAAAATTTCCTTTTTAAAACGGTCGAACTTAAAATCTAGCCATGTGTGACTTTTCGAATTATTATTTACAGCTCGCCCCACTGTTTCCCTTAACATGTTTTAACTGAATTTGAATAGGATGTTCTCCAGGGTTTACAAGTAAAGGATACTTCTATTTGAAGACTTCTGTACCTGGGTAACCTGCAATAGGCGAATCTTTGTTTACACTTTTTGCCTCATTAACATATGCTTATCACTATCTGATGACGCTAATAAAATAAAAACTCTGAAAATTGAAAGGCCATAACAGTTTGCAGTTATCTCTGAAAATTTGAGTCCAAAACACCGAATGGTTTTGGGGAAATTCTCGTCTAAAAACTCCAAATTTTACAGAGAATGTAGGGCTCATTAACTTTTCTGCCACCCAGCAATTTCAAAGTTTTTGATTTTTTGATGGCTGATATTTCCTTCAATATTGCTTGCAAAGAGCTGAAAATTGCACAAATTGCTCAACTTAATCAGCTCTTTCAACTTTTGCCTTTTATACGACCACGGCTTCCAACTGAGTTAAGTCAGGAGCCTGGTTAAGTCCGGTATTCTAACGAGGACAAATGTAAACAATGACGTCAGCAAAGATTCGCCTATTAATTAAAAGCAGCTTGATGGCTTCTGTGGCTGACGTAATCATTTCCAGCTTGTTTTTTTAATAACGCCAGAAATCATGAAAGAAAGCCAGTTGTTATATCTGCGTTTTTTTGTTTTCGACAGTGCCTCCAAGAATTACAACGGAGCCACAGAGAGAGTCTAAAGTCAGCGTTGGAGAAAATTTGACGCTGACGTGCAGTGCATCTGGCGACCCACTCCCAGAAGTCACATGGAACAAAGAGGGCCAAGTGCTGAGGCTTTTTAATGTTACTGGCCCAGTTCTGCATCTCGTTAAGGTAACGAGGGAGGATTTTGGATCTTACAAATGCACAGCAAAAAATAAAGTCGGAGAGGCCTCTCGCCCTGCCCTGGTTAACATAGCATGTGAGTAATATATACACTGTAAAATGAAAAGAGCCAAATCGACCCCAAAGGCCAAATCGGCCCCAATTTCTCGAGGGCCGATTTGGAACATGCTGGGCCGTTTTGGACAGAAAGAGTCAAAACAGTTCTAGATGGTACCAATTCGGCCCATCTAATTTCTGAATCGGCTACACTAAAAGCTACTTTGGCACTTCCTCTCAATTTGGCCCTTCTGATAGCCAAATTAAAATTCCGATTTGGCCCCAACAAGGTCTACTCGGAGCGACCGCGGTGTTCGGTTCAAGTAACCATAGTCACGTCTGACACAATCCAAAGTACGGTCCGTTTAGTCGAGTAAGGAACTAAGATAACTTTAACGTAGACCTAAAACCGTGGCGACTGTCAGAGACTGTAAGGTAAATCATGGTTTCGAGCGAACCTTTGCCTCGAGCGAAGGTGCAAATCGGAAACAAAATCTACAATCACGCTCCCGAATGTTCTGCACGTGATTTCAATATCGATAACATTACATGATGCGTCACGCAAACTAAACGCTGAGAGGGCGTTACAGTACAATATCCATCGGTATTGATAGCAAACAAAGACCCAGCCATCATGTACATATATTTTCTGATTCATAAGTAAAAGGTTTTTAGAATTTCGAACGCCTGCCACAGGATAAAAATGACAAGACATGTAAGCAATCGAAAACATATTTTGGAAACAATACACAACTGCTCAGCGGGCTGTCCCTATGCACATGCTCTTTGGTGTCGTCCTTTTGGCGTCCATTTGAAAGTACTGCAACGGTTGCGAACATGCCAGTTTCTTTGGGGATCAGGAGTCTTTTATTATACTTCTCGACAGCATCAAAGGACATTCAGGGTGTTTTTACTAATTATTTTCGAACTATGAGCCGTCGTTGATCCATCACTTCGCTCTTGAAGTTCGTCGTGAAGAATCGGAGACAGAAGCCTCGTGAGGCGCAACGGTTTTCAAGATGAACTGCACAAAATTATAATAATAACAAACGCTCTCCAAGAATCAAGACTTTGCTGGAAAAAGCCGATAGTAAGACCAGGTAAGCCGCCCTGATTCGCTCTCTTTCTACCAAATGCAAAAGACTGAGCTATTTTAACCACGTTTGATGAAACAGAATTCAGGGTCACTCAAGTCCACCTTGTTGGAACGCTTTGAAGAACGGGTCATTAGATGCTTTTAATTTTATTATCTAATGATAAGGAAATAAGTGACCCTGTATTCTGTAGTTAAGCCAGTGGAGGAGTTAAAAAGCACTTCTTCCATCCCCTCACTGTCCCCTATTTAAAATAGGGAGAATGATAAACATATCTAATGAAAAAACCTTAAAGCCATTTCAACTAAAGAAGATGGTAAGGATGGTGTGGTCTGGTTATACATTTACACTGTAGATTTCAGTACTTGTTTTGTTTTAAGTAAGGTTTACCTTACCAATGCATTATTTCTCTTGTCTGATAAATAAGTGCAAAATAAATGCATTAAAAATAGAGAAATTTAAAACCCTTTTAACCCTAAGATCAAAATTTGAATGCTCATTTGTTTCCCCTATTCATTTCCTACAGAAGTATTGGGAAGAAGCACAGGTAGCCCAAGCTCACTATGAGAGCCCTGAACAACATTATCCTACTTAGCTAATTAATTATTCATACAGCAAGAAAATTATAAGACGTTGTATGGAGAAATATTCTTTGCTCACTAAATTAGCAAAATGTACATTGAATATCGCTTTGAAGCTTACCTTTAGCGTCTTCTTGTTTTTCTTTGTATTCTGACTGCATTTCAGACCTCCTAGGCACTGTTTAAGGCCTTTTTTTGAGCGACTGTTTTTCACCCAGATGACAGTAGAGACAAGAGAAGAGAAGGTTGGCAAACCTCTCTTGACCGGCTCCGCTCTCGGCGGCGATAAATTCCGTGACATTTGCGACATGGAGACAATTCCGCCAGAAACAGATGTCCTGATAAATAACGCACATTTTCCATCATTCACATCGCCAAAATTCCCATTTCGAAGGTCCTAAATCGCCAACGAAGTGGGCAATACACGGCTGAGGTGAGGCGAGTCGAGAGCAGACCCGCAACGGACTCCAACCGTCACGTCGACAATTCAAACCGTCGCGGGCTGGCAGGGTCAAATTGTTCAACCGTCAAAGGACAATTGGAGCATTTAGCCTACTGGGCACAGTAACTGATTTTTACTTCTCATTGCACTCCGGGGTCGCGGAAGTCAAGCATCGCGTGTGATAGTGGCATGTAATATCAAAACATGTCGCGTTGTTAATGTTTTCATCCTGTCCCCAAACTTGCTACCTACTGCCACTTGTTGAAAAAGGGAGGAAAAATAGCTAACAACTGTTTACAGCCGTAGTAATTCTTATTGCAAAATTTTTTTCTAAATCATACATAAAAAACCATTGTCAAACGCTTTTTAAAAAGAAGGGTAGAGATCAAAACATTAACAACGCGACATGTTTTGATATTACATGTCATTATCACACGCGATGCTTGACTTCCGCGACTCCGGAGTGCAATGTGAGAAGTAAAAAATCAGTTACTGTGCCCAGTAGGCTAAATGCTCCAATTGTCCATTGACGGTTGAACAATTTGACCCTACCAGCCCGCGACGGTTTGAATTGTCGACGTGACGGTTGGAGTCCGTTGCGGGTCTGCTCTCGACTCGCCTCACCTCAGCCGTGTATTGCCCACTTCGTTGGCGATTTAGGACCTTCGAAATGGGAATTTTGGCGATGTGAATGATGGAAAATGTGCGTTATTTATCAGGACATCTGTTTCTGGCGGAATTGTCTCCATGTCGCAAATGTCACGGAATTTATCGCCGCCGAGAGCGGAGCCGGTCAAGAGAGGTTTGCCAACCTTCTCTTCTCTTGTCTCTACTGTCATCTGGGTGAAAAACAGTCGCTCAAAAAAAGGCCTTAAACAGTGCCTAGGAGGTCTGAAATGCAGTCAGAATACAAAGAAAAACAAGAAGACGCTAAAGGTAAGCTTCAAAGCGATATTCAATGTACATTTTGCTAATTTAGTGAGCAAAGAATATTTCTCCATACAACGTCTTATAATTTTCTTGCTGTATGAATAATTAATTAGCTAAGTAGGATAATGTTGTTCAGGGCTCTCATAGTGAGCTTGGGCTACCTGTGGAAGAAGTTGATAAAATATCAAGCAAATTGTGTGATCATGTCCATAATTCTCATGAACACTCTGTTATACAAAGCATTGATATTACAAGGAGAAATTTGATGCTGATGACTCTTAAGGCCTAAAGGGTTGAAAGAATAATGTGAATTATAATAATAAAGTTATGCATAAAATTAGGAAGTAGAATTTTAGGTTGCAGAATTCTGCAGGTGTGATTGAGGTAACAGGGTCTGTCAGTCAATTTGCTCCCACAATTACTCAGAACTGTGTGTAAATAAACTTGGTGCTCCGAGTCAACCAGTTTTAATTTAATAACATTTCTCCTATGGCAGAAATAGAAAGGCGGACATCCTTTTGGTAGTGAACAAGGTTCTGCGGCATTGATCGGAATGCTAAGAGGACTTCGGGAGGAATTTATCACTTTTGTAGAGGTAGGTGTTTTGGGAATACAATGTTTTTCCTGATATTGTGATACAAAATACCGCAAGAGTGCTACAAACTCAACTGTACATTGAACCCTAAATGCTTGGGAAGCCCAGATACAAGTGGAAGTCAGACAAAATTGAGATGCAATTTAGCTTATGTTATGACGGTATCCCTTGGGGGCCATTCCCGTCACCAGACTACACCAAATCTCACAGAATAATAATGGCTACATAATACTTAATGAATTTTGATTTACAGCTGCAAAATTTCTTACTTGGTGAGAAATACATGTACTAAAAGAATCTTCTTGTATCAGGACATGCACACTGTAATTACCTCCTCAATGATGTGTGAATGTATTAGACATAATTATGCTGTCATTCTTTTTCCCATAACATAAAGGAAGCATAATTTCAAAAAACTATAATTTATACAGTATACCATACATGCATACCTGAAAACTGGAAAGAAGTAATTAAACCAACATTTTTTGACAATAGTATTGTTATGACCATACTGACCTTTTATGTGTACGCACTGTTTGTTGTGTTTTGATTATTCTTTTTATCATTTCTAAAATTACAACATTTGTTTTTATTGCAGAGGGATGCAGATGTTGACAGGAAAATTCAGGATTTTGTTGTGACAAAGGGAGGCATTATTTGCCAGTTTCCTCAGGAGAAGATTGATGCAGTGTGTTGCGAAGACAACAAACGATATCTCGTCGGTTAAATAAACTCACGGTTTTAATTTTACGGCTCCTAAAACTTACATGTTCTGATAACAACTCATGACAACTACAAAAACCCGACCGCGTGTGAATTACAAAATCAGAGTAACTGTCAATCAAAAAAATGAAATCTGATCACTAAAAACTCACGCGTGCGATTGCGTGACGCGAGACTCGAAATGTCTTTTGTCCATTTCCCCCTCCCCACACTGGGAGGTAAGGATCAGTGTGATTGTTCGATAAAAGATTGAAACAGAAAACTATAACAACGAGAAATGTTCAGTGTTCTAACTTTCGTGCAAGGGCACCAGTTTATGAATTGGTCTAACGATGGTGCTTGCGCCACATTGGATCTTAGCGACTCTGATGTGGCCATCCCTTCCTGTATAAGTTTCGATGATGCGTCCTAGAGGCCATCGTCCTCTTGGCAGTTTAGAATCCAGGACGAGAACAACATCATCCACCTTCAGATCCTTGACCACTTCGGTCCACTTTGGCCTTCTGCTTAACAAAGGAAGGTACTCTTGTAGCCACCTCCTCCAGACTTGGGAAATTATCTCCTGGACCTTTCGCCAACGTTTTCGTGGACTGAACTCGGTGGTATCAACGGTTTCAGGTGCGAATTGACCGCCCAACTGTCCGTGTAAGAAGTGGTTTGGAGTCAGCGGTACAATGTCCTGG